ATTGCGCGTCGTCTCGAGCGGTCTTTATCGGCAGTGCAACGGGCATGGCGAGAATGGTCTGAGGTAGGACATAGGTACCTACAGCCGCGGTCGGGACGACCCTGCGCGTCCGCAGCACTCGAGGATCACGTTCTTGTGCTCAGCGCTTTAGCGTCGTGTGTGTCCTCCTCAAGGCAACTTGGAGCTGTTTGGCCACTGGCAGGGGAAGGCGCACTCATTACGTGAACTGTACGGCGACGTTTGGTAGATAGTGGACTGGCGCGCGCGTCGTGCGATACAGCGGATTCCAGTAACACCCGAGCACCGCAGCATACGTCACGAGTGGGTCGACGCTAGGCATTAGTAGGTTGCCGAGTAGAGGGACATTTTGTTTTCCGACGAATCAAGATTCGAATTGAGCACCGGTGATACGCGAATTTTAGTTCGTCGGAGCCGTGATGATCGTCTACTCGAGCAGTGTCTGCAAGAATGCCCTATCCACCGACAACCGAGCATTATGGTATGGGGTGCGATTACATATGGTGGACGTACACGTCTGCTGCGTGTATAGCAGACCATGACGGGTCAACGATACGTAGATGAGGTGCTACGGTCTGTTGTGCTTCCCTACGTTCGGGGCTCCCAGGTCTGCTATACATGCACGACAAGGTACGACAGCACATCGGGCGTGTTGTACAGACCTTTGTGGAAGAGCACCGTATACGAATGCTTCCATGGCTAGCTCGGTGTCCGCATCTGAATCCGATCGAACATATTTGGGACATGACTGGTTGGAGACTTCTACGTTATCCGGCTTCCTCGGCTAACGTTGAGGAGCTATGGAGGCGAGTTGAGGTGGCATGGTTGGCCATCCCTCTCGCTACAATATAGCGACTTATAGACTCCATGCCACGTCGTGTAGCGATGGTACGCGAAGCTCATGGGGGATACTCTCGCTATTGATGTTTCTCCTCCCAGCAGAGTTGTGCCGTTCTCCATGTGAGAGTTACACTACTTTAGTACTACTTCTATACCAAATTTTATTGCGCTGGACACACGCGTTCAGGTTATACAGGTGTGCTCGTGAATTATTTCCAACAGTGTATTACACTTAATGAATGTGGCGGTTGCCACATATATTCCCCCCCTAACAAGGAATCTCAAATTCAACAAAAGATGTAGGGTGACTTAAAATTATTTTACAAATATTAATAATAAAGAAGTAGTGTTAAGAAATAGTCGAGACCGGCGCGGAAAAAATCTGAGACATAGAAAGTTACTTAAAAACGCGGGGGTTAGAAAAAAACTGTCAAAAAGGAAAAATCTTACTGTTCTTGTAGAATAAGTAGAAGTATCTCTTCGAATAGCAAATAAAAGTCGAAGTGCTTCTATCGAACGTGTGTATTAACACGATTGAAACTACTTTTTAACGAAAATTACACGGAACGATTTATTACGCTTTTTGATGTCAACTACAACAACTCGTTAGAACAACTGAATAACAATAACGAATAAAATACGGAACGGCCGACTAATTAAATTATAAAAACTTTGAACAAGTAGAATTGCTTCGGTTAACTAATATTTCGTCTTCCAACAAGGAAAATAATCATTGAGCTTGCAATAAGTTAATTATTATGTTGGTAAAACGAAAGGGTAGTATGTTGACATGAAAAACATGACTAATGAGTTTTGAGTGGTATGTCAACACAATTGACATTGTCATTGTTGACAACTAAATTATCATTCAGAATGCATGCTGGTTTCAAGCGATTAATGGTAATGATAACATGCGAGTTGTTAGGAAGAATTTTAAAAGTTTTTTCATATTTTTCTATGACTTTATAAGGTCCATCGTAATTAAAAGTGAGTGAAGGTCGTTTACCTTCAACTGTAACAAAAACATAATTTGTATTATATAAATCTTTGTGGATAAATGGTTTTGTATAAGAATGAAATGTTGTAGAAATTGGCTTAATTGCGGAGAAAGTCTGTCGTAAATTTTCTAAAAGGGGATCAATTTCTATTTGTTGGGTAGAAGTAATAAAAAATTCTCCAGGTAGTCGGAGTGTTTGACCGTGTAATAATTCGGCTGAAGTACAACCAAGATCCTCTTTCAATGTAGAACGTATTCCCAACAAAATGAGTGGAAGAGCTTCATTCCATCTTTCACCAAAACTACTTGCAGTAATAGCGGTTTTGAGAGTTCGATGGAATCTCTCTAAAATTCCATTACTTTGTGGATGGTATGTGGAAGTGTGTATTTGATGGATACCAAGTATTTTATTAAATTGAGAAAAAAGTTTGGATTCAAACTGTTTGCCTCGATCATGGGTAATAGTGTGAGGTATACCGAATCTTGAAAAATGATGACGAAGTAATGTGTTTGTAATGCTGGAAGAGGTAATATTTTTGAGAGGAAATGCTTCAGGCCATCTAGTAAATCGGGTGATAACTGTTAGTACATATGTAGAACCAAGTGATGGGGAAAGGGGGCCAATTAAATCAATATGTATGTGTTCAAACCTTCCTCTCGGAATGGTTATCTTCTGAAGAGGAGATTTGATATGTCTATGAACCTTTGCTTGTTGGCAATTTAGACAAGCTTTTCTCCATAATTGTATATTTTTGGACATGTGAGGTCAGAAGAAGCGAGATTTGAGGTTGTGAAGTGTTGATCGAAATGAGTTAGATTATGAAATTTATTAAAAATTACTTTTCTATATTTTTGAGGTATATAAATTCTAGGAGACGTTAAAGTAGTGTCGCACCAAAGTAGTAAATTTGAGTTTGGAATTTTTGTTTCAGATAAATTATAATTGCATCTGGAAGTTGATTGTTTCTTGATTAAATAAGGTCATTGTTGATCCTGGTCCTGGGCATTTTTAATCATCTGTAAGCTTGGATATTGATTTTCAAGACAATCGACATTGATTCGTGACAATGTGTCTGCCACAATGTTCGATTTACCTTTAATAAATTTTATTTCCGAGGTGAATTGGGTAATGTAATTTAAGTAACGAGTCTGACGAGGAGTTTTTTCTGATTTAGAAAAGAACGAATTTATTAGTGGTTTATGATCTGTATAAATAGTGAAGTGATTTCCACGAAGAAAATGCTTAAAAAATTTAATTGTAGAATAAATGGCAAGTAATTTTTGATCGAATGTAGAGTAATTGACTTGCGCGGATGAAAATTTTTTTGAGTAAAAAGCTAAAGGTTGTGTTTCAGAATTGAATGTTTGAGCAAGCACTGCTCCCATGCCTATATTGGAAGCATCAGTAGTTAACGAAAGCGACGCATGAATAGATGGATGCGCAAGTGTTTTCGCAGAAGAAAGAAGGTCTTTAGCTTGAATGAATGATAATAATTCATGTTCATTTGACCGTGAAGAGATCGATTTATCTTTACTAGAATTTAGACTAGCTGATAAATTATTCAGTGGTGCTAAAATCTGTGATAGTTTAGGAATGAATCGATGATAAAAATTTATCATACCTAAGAATCTTTGTAGCTCTTTTAAAGAAACAGGTTTGGGAAAGTTAGTAATAACATTAACTCTCGACAAAGAAAGACGAATACCTTAAGTGCTGGGGGTCCAGTAGCCGAGTTAATTTTCGGTCGTTGCGGAGATTTTTGGGAAATGCTTGTTATGATTTGTTCAACTCCAGGTTCGATTCAGATTCTTCTATTCGAGGCGTTCATAGAATATGGCGAGATATTTTTGTTCGCGTCGGGGTCACCAATTTGTAGTTACAAGTTAATCGTAAATGAATTAATTTGTTCTACACAAAAATGCGAACGCCAGTTTTTATGGTTTTAATTTGAATTATTTATTTATTTTATTTTGTTTTTTGTCGTTATGGTATTTTTTATTTTTTATTACCAAACTTATAACTACGATATTATAATATATTACACTTAATGAATGTGGCTGTTGCCACGCACTGTGATATTGGTTGCTTACTTCCCGGTCATATTCAATACAATATAAACACAAGTTGTTTCGAAATCGATATGTGTGTGCATACAACACGATTTATGAACAACTAAACTGTTTCGTCGATGAATAATCGGTAATAATTTTTTTTCCCTCTTTGTAACTCGATCCGGGGACATACTGTATACAGGGTGAGTCAGAAAGAATGGGAAATCCGAATACCGGAGATGAGAAATCCAGATTTAAATCCACTGGATTTTTGAATATAGTCACAATATTCTATTGTAATTAATTAATTGTTGTTGTTATCGATTATTATCGTTACTAACTGCTATTGTTACTGTGTGTTATTGATTTTCAATGTTAACCTTAAAATTACTTTGAAACAATTAAAAGCAGATAACTTGGAAACCAGTAGATTTAGACAATGTAAGCAAGACTACCTTTTTTGTGTAGAATTGCAAGCTCTTTCAGATTTCTGGTTCTAATTCACCATACCTCAACAAACAAAATAGTAATGACTTGATATCTCAAACATGCAGTGTGTATCTAGCGCCCTCTACGAGTAATCACAAAACAAATATCAAATTCGTATTTCTTATGCTCGAAAACATATAACTACCAAATTTTATGTTAATAGTACAAAAAGCTTCAAAATTATCAAGAAATTTCGAAATAAGAGTTTAACTTTCAACACCTTACCTACCGACATTTGTATAAGAGATGTTAGGTTAAATCGTCATATTTTGGTATCTAGTGTCTCCGGTATTCGGATTTCCCATTCTTTCTGACTCACCCTGTATAATATTTCACTGTTACAATGAGGTTGCTAAGAAAACCTGATATAAATAAAGTTGTATTAAACGAAAAAGTCCTATTGGGGTTGAACTTGATTATTATCTGCAGTGTCCAACACCTAAAAGGGTTACTAATTCCTGAAAATGGTGTAGTACTAAATAATATATCCGTTCCACCACTAATCTGGATGATTTTTCGATTTTTTAATTAATTTTTTATTAAAAAATTAAATTTATCTAAATTACAATAATTAAATACAATCATAAAGTACATTTTTTAAAATCTAAAACCTCACTAATTTAACAACAATCGCCACGAAAATCGATAAAAACGTCATTGATTTATTAAAAACACTTAAAGATGTTGCCGAATTACATCCATCCTTAAAACACTGACACGTTACGTCCAATTTGAATTGGGTATCATTCTTGTAACATCTCGTATTATTCGCGCTCTTTGTCTTCCATCCACAACCTCTCGTTATCACCACAATCTTATTCGTGTCGAGAACTAAATAATCGAAAATACACATCAATAAACAAACCTTTTAAAACGAATCCAAATAAGATTAAAAATTAAAATTGAATAAAATTACTTACTAGTTTGGATGGTTTTTCTACAAAAAGGTGGTGCATCATGATTTGGTTCGCAATCTTTTAAATATTCGCTATCTTCATCTTTTTCTGTTAAAGAAGAACACCCAACATCGTGCGAATTACATTGAAAACATTTTATCGCCTTGACTTAAAAAGGAAAATAACCAAATAGTTCAAAAAAGATTAAATTGACGATAATTTCTTGGTTTGGAGAACCTATTATTACTTTTTTATTAAAAATATCTTAGTTAAAGGCAGTTTGAAAGTGGTTATAACCGGTTTTGACTTGAAATTTAAATTTAAAATGAATATTTATGAATAAATATGATTTCTCACCTGAAACGAACGTTGCAAGAAAAACCAGCGAGTAGAAAAGAAAATTTCTTTCCAATTTCATCTCAAATCTAAAAAGAAATGCGTCAATTTAGTTTTGAGTTAAAAAAATTTAAATGAAAGTAATTTAAATAATTTAAGATTACTTACTTTGACCTAAAAATGGAGAAAAATGAGACTTTGACTTTAACCTTCAAACGATTAGATAATGAAAACGATGTAAACAAATTAAAAAGACACAACACAGCAATAAAAGTGTTAAGAAGTAGACCGAGATGGCGGAGATCGACGGTTTAAGTGTAAATGGAGAATTCTCGGTCGAGATTTTCACTTTTAAACGTGATCCTTTCAGTAGGTCCCATCTAGATTTATCCAGATTCAACAATAAACTGAGATTGCTTCAACGATTTTTATAATTTTTTATTATTTCCAGATTCTAAATGCTGTTGGCAGCTATTATTTATAATTGTTATAATTGGAAGTGTAAAATTTATTAGATTTTTTTTAATAGAAAAATAATTCTTGTACCAAATTAAAGCTGAAATCTCCTTCTTTATGGAAATATTAAAGTTATTAAAGCTTTAAAAAGATTTTGGAAAAAAATTTAATCCAAAGATACGTTTTTGAGGTGCCATAAAATGATAAATTTAAAAAAAAAAACAAAGACGATTTGTTTAACGCCAACAACAATCATAATGACTTTATAAATAGACATAAAAGAGTACATGAAATGAATCAACATCTTAATACTGGTTTTTTTAATAGCTACGATTAATCCCAAAAGAGTACTTAATTGTGTTATTTCGCAGCCAACTTCACTCTTAAACCGCATTATGTTCATTAAGTATGGATATTAACTAAAAAAAATGTTTTGTTAACAAAATTTTCAATTGTTAAGCTGTGAAACTTTTCGAGATGCAGCGCCAACCAATCGAAAGCTTATTTTATTCTGCATTCGAGGGTGTAACTATCTTTATCAAAACATTTTTGAAAATTAACAATTTTTTAATTTCCCTCTGAACAGTACTGAAATGGAATTCAAGATTTTCTTCCTAATTATTGCTTGTATCAAAATAATTTTCAAATAAAACTTGTTAAGAATTAAGAAAGGAACAACTTTTGTTGGAACCATTTTTTAAAATTATCAATTTTTTAATTTCCCTGTCAACAGTATAGAAATCGAATTCAAGATTATCTCCCGAATTATTGTTTGTATCAAAATAATTTTCAAACAGAACTTGTTAAGAATTAAGAAAGGAACAACTTTTGTTGGAACCATTTTTTAAAATTATCAATTTTTTAATTTCCCTCTGAACAGTACAGAAATGGAATTCAAGATTATCTTCCCAATTATTGTTTGTATCAAAATAATTTTCAAATAAAACTTGTTAAGAATTAAGAAAGGAACAACTTTTGTTGGAAGCATTTTTTAAAATTATCAATTTTTTAATTTCCCTGTCAACAGTATAGAAATCGAATTCAAGATTATCTCCCGAATTATTGTTTGCATCAAAATAATTTTCAAATAAAACTTGTTAAGAATTAAGAAAGGAACAACTTTTGTTGGAACCATTTTTTAATATCAATTTTTTAATTTCCCTGTCAACAGTATAGAAATCGAATTCAAGATTATCTCCCGAATTATTGTTTGTATCAAAATAATTTTCAAATAAAACTTGTTAAGAATTAAGAAAGGAACAACTTTTGTTGGACCCATTTTTTAGAATTATCAATTTTTTAATTTCCCTCTGAACAGTACAGAAATGGAATTCAAGATTATCTTCCTAATTATTGTTTGTATCAAAATAATTTTCAAATAAAAGTTGTTAAGAATTAAGAAAGGAACAACTTTTGTTGCAACCATTTTTTAAAATTATCAATTTTTTAATTTCCCTCTGAACAGTACAGAAATGGAATTCAAGATTATCTTCCTAATTATTGTTTGTATCAAAATAATTTTCAAATAAAACTTGTTAAGAATTAAGAAAGGAACAACTTTTGTTGGAACCATTTTTTAAAATTATCAATTTTTTAATTTCCCTGTTAACAGTACAGAAATGGAATTCAACATTATCTTCGTAATTATTGTTTGTATCAAAATACTTTTCAAATAAAACTTGTTAAGAATTAAGAAAGGAACAACTTTTGTTGGAACCATTTTTTAAAATTATCAATTTTTTAATTTCCCTGTTGACAGTACAGAAATAGAATTCGAGATTATCTTCGTAATTATTGTTTGTATCAAAATAATTTTCAAATAAAACTTGTTAAGAATTAAGAAAGGAACAATTTTTGTTGGAACCATTTTTTAAAATTATCAATCTTTTAATTTCCCTGTTAATAGTACAGAAATACAATTCGAGATTATCTTCGTAATTATTGTTTGTATCAAAATAATATTCAAATAAAACTTGTTAAGAATTAAGAAGGGAACAACTTTTGTTGGAACCATCTTTTAAAATTATCAATTTTTTAATTTCCCTCTGAACAGTACAGAAATGGAATTAAAAATTATCTTCCTAATTATTGCTTGTATCAAAATATTTTTCAAATAAAACTTGTTAAGAATTAAGAAACGAACCACTTTTGTTGGAACCATTTTTTTAAATTAACAATTTTTTAATTTCCCTCTGAACAGTATAGAAATGGAATTTAAGATTATCTTCCTAATTATTGTTTGTATCAAAATAATTTTCAAATAAAACTTGTTAAGAATTAAGAAAGGAACAACTTTTGTTGGAACCATTTTTTAAAATTATTAATTTTTTAATTTCCCTCTGAACAGTACAGAAATGGAATTCAAGATTATCTTCCTAATTATTGTTTGTATCAAAATAATTTTCAAATAAAACTTGTTAAGAATTAAGAAAGGAACAACTTTTGTTGGAACCATTTTTTAAAATTATCAATTTTTTAATTTCACTGTTAACAGTACAGAAATGGAATTCAAGATTATCTTCCTAATTATTGTTTGTATCAAAATAATTTTCAAATTAAACTTGTTAAGAGTTAAAAAAGGAACAACTTTTGATGATTTTAATCCTGTGTATGTATTAAGAATTAATTTGCCATTTATATTAATAAATTATGCAACGAATTGCTTGTAATAATATTATGTATTTAACGAAACTGTATTTACATTCTAACTGTATTTTCTTTCGTAGAACCCGAAAAATACCGATCGAAACCGCCTGATATTGGAACGAGCTCAACTTAGAAATGTAAATCTTATAATATCTAGTTAAAATCAGTTCTTATTGGCATATATGTTCATTTCGAGTATACGATACGGATATAGATTACGATTAGGTTTTAATGACGCTTTTAAACAATTTAAAACAATGTTATGACGTCTTGTAGTGATTTATTTTTATTTCTAAAAAGATTTTTATCGATTAACATTAATCATTAAAAAAATCGGAATTTAATCCAAGGTTATTTTTATTATAAAATTATTTTTGACAATTATTAAAAACAATTATTTATAATATTTGTTTCTAATAATTTCGATTAAAGTGACATCACAAACAACCAAGAATGTTTGTAAAACAAAACATGTTCTTTTATTGAAATGTAATTGAATACATCAAGTAGTAAAAGGAATAGGAAAATAAGGACGAAACACATGCTCGACATATCATAAAGTAGAATTTTTAAGCTTCAATTTAACATACATATCACATAATGATTCTTAAAAATACAGTTGATATGATTTCCCAAATTTTTGTATTACGTTTGATTTATAAATTTGGCAATTTCCCCTTTAATAATTTTTTCTTGAAAATTTCAATAATATTACGTTATAGTTTATATATCATATTGTAAACTAGAATCTTTAAGCTACAATTTAACATACATATCATATCATGATTATTAAAAATACAGTTGATATGATTTTTCCAAAATGTTGTATTACATTTGATCTATAAATTTGGCAATGTCTCCCTTAATAATTTTTTCTTGGAAATTTCAATAATATTAAGTTATAGTTTATATATCATATCGTAAACTAAAATCTTTAAGCTACAATTTAACATACATATCATATCATAATTGTTAAAAATACAATAGATGTGATTTTTCCAAAATTTTGTGTTATGATTGATTTATAAATTTGGCAATTTCTCCTTTAATAATTTTTTCTTTGAAATTTCAATAATATTACGTTATACTTTATATGTCATATCGTAAACTAGAATCTTTAAGCTACAATTTAACATACATATCATATCATGATTGTTAAAAATATAGTTGATATTATTTTTCCAAAATGTTGTATTACGTTTGATTTATAAATTTGGCAATTTCTCCTTTAATAATACTTTCTTGAAAATTTCAATAACATTACGTTATAGTTTATACATCATATCGTAAACTAGAATCTTTAAGCTACAATTTAACATACATATCATATCATCATTGTTAAAAATACAGTAGATGTGATTTTTCCAAAATTTTGTGTTATGATTGATTTATAAATTTGGCAATTTATCCTTTAATAATTTTTTCTGCGAAATTTCAATAATATTGCGTTATAGTTTATATGTCATATCGAAAACCATTATCATTAAGCTACAATTTAACATACATATCATATCATCATTGTTAAAAATACAGAGGATATGATTTTTCCAAAATGTCGTATTACATTTGATCTATAAATTTGGCATTTTCTCTTTTAATAATTTTTTCTTGAAATTTTCAATAATATTAGGTTATAGTTTATATATCATATCGTAAACTAAAATCTTTAAGCTGCATTTTAACATACATATCATATCATAATTGCTAAAAATACAGTTGATGTGATTTTTCCAAATTTTTGTATTATATTTGATGTATAAATTTGGCAATTTCTCTTTTAATGATTCTTTCTTGGAAATTTCAATAACATTACGTTATAGTTTATATACCATATCGTAAACTAGAATCATTAAGCTACAATTTAACATACATATCATATCATGATTGTTAAAAATACAGTTGATATGATTTTTCCAAAATGTATTACATTTGATCTATAAATTTGGCAATTTCTCCTTTAATAATTTTTTCTTGAAAATTTCAATAATATTACGTTATAGTTTATATGTCATATCGGAAACTAGAATCTTTAAGCTACAATTTAACATACATCTCATATCATGATTGTTAAAAATACCGTTGATATGATTTTTCCAAAATGTTGTATTACGTTTAATTTATAAATTTGACAATTTCTCCTTTAATTATTTTTTCTTGGAAATTTCAATAACATTACCTTATAGTTTATATATCATATCGTAAACTAGAATCTTTAAGCTACAATTTAACATACATATCATATCATGACTGTTAAGAATACAGTTGATATGATTTTTCCAAATTTTTCTATTACGTTTGATGTATAAATTTGGCAATTTCTCCTTAAATAATTTTTTCTTGGATATTTCAATAATATTACGTTTTAGTTTTTACATCATATCGTAAACTAGAATCTTTAAGCTACAATTTAACATACATATCATATCATGACTGTTAAAAATACAGTTGATATGATTTTTCAAAATTTTTGTATTACGTTTGATTTATAAATTTGGCAATTTCTCCTTTAATAATTTTTTCTTGGATATTTCAATAATATTACGTTTTAGTTTTTACATCATATCGTAAACTAGAATCTTTAAGCTACAATTTAACATACGTATCATATCATGATTCTTAAAAGTACAGTTGATATGATTTTCCAAAATTTTTCTATTACGTTTGATGTATAAATTTGGCAATTTCTCCTTTAATAATTTTTTCTTGAAAATTTCAATAATATTTCGTTATAATTTTTATATCATATCGTAAACTCGAATCTTTAAGCTTCATTTAACATTCATATCATATCATGATTCATAAAAATTCAGTTGATATGATTTTTTCAAAATTTTGTATTATCTTTGATTTATAAATTTTGCAATTTCTTCTTTAATAATTTTTCCTGGAAATTTCAATAATATTACGGTTTTTAATAGTAATAATTATTATTAAAAGTATTTTTTTCGTAATAATTCCCATTAAATTGACATTAAAAATAATCAAGAAACGTTTGTAAAACAAAAAAAGAAAGCTAGAATTGTCAAACAAACAGTTTTTTTTCAAACACGTTTTTTTTCATCATCGTAATGTAATTTAATTGATCGCGTAGAAATTAAGGATTAAGAAAAAAAGAAAATAAGGACGAAAAATTGATTATTTTTAAAAAACTAAGTAAAAATAAGTGTTATTAAAGAAAAAATATACGAAAAACATCGATACGAAGTCAAAAAGTGAAGAGATTTACAAAATTAAGTTTATAAATCGAAACAAGTCTTCAAGAAATTTTTAAGAAATCTTGAAACATCTCAGGAAATCTATTAAATTTGTTAAACGAAACTAAAACTAGAAAAAAGTTACAAATAAAGGGTGAGTTTTTAGAGGAATTTGTTATCCAAGATGTTTAATTTCATTTATTTTGTTAGATTCGTTCGGAAATGTGACCGAAATACGAGAATGTTTCCGATAATTGATCAAAACCGACACGACAATCAAACCGTCCACGTTCATATGCACCAAGTAAGTACCAATTTTATTTTATAGTTTATAGATTCTTCGATTAATTAAATTTGCTAAATTTATTCTCATTTCTCTATGTAGAAGTTTTTTTAATGTTAATCGAAAAATTACCGAGCAAATATGAATAAGTCAAGTCACATTTAATCTCATCTCACTCTTTAATCATCTCATTTAATAGTTTTTATGTTATATGATATGATATAAAAAAAAACTATACGTTTTTAAAGTTCAAATTGGCACTAATCAAATTGTTGGCACAAAATGTCATTAAAAAAAAATCAATCTGACAACTGTCATGATCAAATTGGTATTAATCAAAATCAAAATGACATTAATCAACGTCAAATTGGCGTCAAATAATTATTTAACAAAACTATCTTTATTTCGTGATTAATATTTTAAATAAAGTATGCAAACTCCTCAAGAGTGTTAGTACGAATTTCAAATATTTTTGATTTATTTCACTAAAGCCCACTTTTACCATCGTCCTGATAAACTATCTAGAGGATAGTTGCCATGGTTACTTATTTTATTATGAATATTAGTTTTAAAAAACATTTTCGGTTTAAATATGATTTATTATGTACAAATGGGGTTTTAAATATTTAATAGATTGGTTTTTAATGAAGTATTGATTATTTATCTGTCGCCCAACAAACTCTGCGACCATCTCAGAACTAAAAAGTTTCCTAAGCAATCGGAAAACCTAAATATTGCTTCCAGAATACTACATATTGTTTTCAGAAGACAAATATGGCTACCAAAAGACTGGATACTGCTCCAAAAGACTAAATATTGCTTCTAGAAACCTAAATATTGCTTTCGGAAAACTAACACTGGTCTAGAAACCTAAGTACGACGTCTAGAAGACTAAACAATACTTTAAAAAGATTAAATATTGCTTTCAGAAGACAAACATGACTACCAAAAGACTGGATACTGCTTCAGAAGACTAAATATTGCTTCTAGAAACCTAAATATTGCTTTCAGAAGACTAAAACTGATCTAAGAATCTAAATACGGCGTCTAAAACAATAATTATTGCTTCCAGAATACTAAATATTGCTTTCAGAAGACAAACTTGGCTACTAAGAGACTGCATACTGCTTCAAAAGGTTAAATATTGCTTCCAGAAGACTAAATATTCCTTTCAGAAGGCAAACTTGGCTGCCAAAAGACTAGATACTGCTCCAGAAGACTAAATATTGCTTCTAGAAACCTAAATATTGCTTCTAGAAACCTAAATATTGCTTTCAGAAGACTAAAACTGATCTAAGAGCCTAAATACGGCGTCTAGAATAATAAATATTGCTTCCAGAATACTAAATATTGCTTTCAGAAGACAAACTTGGCTACTAAGAGACTGCATACTGCTTCAAAAGGCTAAATATTGCTTCCAGAAGACTAAATATTCCCTTCAGAAGGCAAACTTGGCTGCCAAAAGAGACTGCATACTGCTTCAAAAGGCTAAATATTGCTTCTAGAAGACTAAATATTCCCTTCAGAAGGCAAACTTGGCTGCCAAAAGACTGGATACCGCTCCAGAAGACTAAATATTGCTTCTAGAAACCTAAATATTGCTTTCAGAAGACTAAATCAGATCTAAGAACCTAAATACGGCGTCTAGAACAATAAATATTGCTTCCAGAATACTAAATATTGCTTTCAGAAGACAAACTTGGCTGCCAAAAGACTGGATACTGCTCCAGAAGACTAAATATTGCTTCTAGAAACCTAAATATTGCTTTCAGAAGACTAAAACTGATCTAAGAACCTAAATACGGCGTCTAGAACAATAAATATTGCTTCCAGAATACTAAATATTGCTTTCAGAAGACAAACTTGGCTACTAAGAGACTGCATACTGCTTCAAAAGGCTAAATATTGCGTCCAGAAGACTAAATATTCCCTTTAGAAGGCAAACTTGGCCGCCAAAAGACTGGATACTGCTCCAGAAGACTAAATATTGCTTTCAGAAGACTAAAACTGATCTAAGAACCTAAATACGGCGTCTAGAACAATAAATATTGCTTCCAAAATACTAAATATTGCTTTCAGAAGACAAACTTGGGTACTAAGAGACTGCATACTGCTTCAAAAGGCTAAATATTGCTTCTAGAAGACTAAATATTCCCTTCAGAAGGCAAACTTGGCTGCCAAAAGACTGGATACTGCTCCAGAAGACTAAATATTGCTTCTAGAAACCTAAATATTGCTTTCAGAAGACTAAAACTGATCTAAGAACCTAAATACGGCGTCTAGAACAATAAATATTGCTTCCAGAATACTAAATATTGCTTTCAGAAGACAAACTTGGCTACTAAGAGACTGCATACTGCTTCAAAAGGCTAAATATTGCTTCCAGAAGACTAAATATTCCCTTCAGAAGGCAAACTTGGCTGCCAAAAGACTGGATACTGCTCCAGAAGACTAAATATTGCTTCTAGAAACCTAAATATTGCTTTCAGAAGACTAAAACTGATCTAAGAACCTAAATACGGCGTCTAGAACAATAAATATTGCTTCCAGAATACTAAATATTGCTTTCAGAAGACAAACTTGGCTACTAAGAGACTGCATACTGCTTCAAAAGGCTAAATATTGCTTCCAGAAGACTAAATATTCCCTTCAGAAGGCAAACTTGGCTGCCAAAAGACTGGATACTGCTCCAGAAGACTAAATATTGCTTCTAGAAACCTAAATATTGCTTTCAGAAGACTAAAACTGATCTAAGAACCTAAATACGGCGTCTAGAACAATAAATATTGCTTCCAGAATACTAAATATTGCTTTCAGAAGACAAACTTGGCTACTAAGAGACTGCATACTGCTTCAAAAGGCTAAATATTGCTTCCAGAAGACTAAATATTCCCTTCAGAAGGCAAACTTGGCTGCCAAAAGACTGGATACTGCTCCAGAAGACTAAATATTGCTTCTAGAAACCTAAATATTGCTTTCAGAAGACTAAAACTGATCTAAGAACCTAAATACGGCGTCTAGAACAATAAATATTGCTTCCAGAATACTAAATATTGCTTTCAGATGACAAACTTGACTATTAAGAGACTGCATACTGCTTCAAAAGGCTAAATATTGCTTCCAGAAGACTAAATATTCCCTTCAGAAGGCAAACTTGGTTGCCAAAAGACTGGATACTGCTCCAGAAGACTAAATATTGCTTCTAGAAACCTAAATATTGCTTTCAGAAGACAAACTTGGCTACTAAGAGACTGCATACTGCTTCAAAAGGCTAAATATTGCTTCCAGAAGACTAAATATTCCCTTCAGAAGGCAAACTTGGCTGCCAAAAGACTGGATACTGCTCCAGAAGACTAAATATTGCTTCTAGAAACCTAAATATTGCTTTCAGAAGATTAAACTGATCTAAGAACCTAAATACTTCGTCTAGAACAATAAATATTGCTTCCAGAATACTAAATATTGTTTTCAGAAGACAAATAAGGCTACCAAAAGACTGGATACTGCTCCAAAAGACTAAATATTGCTTCTAGAAACCTAAATATTGCTTTCAGAAGACTAAAACTGATCTAAGAACCTAAATACGGCATCTAGAACAATAAATATTGCTTCCAGAATACTAAATATTGCTTTCAGAAGACAAACTTAGCTACTAAGAGACTGCATACTGCTTCAAAAGGCTAAATATTGCTTCCAGAAGACTAAATATTTCCTTCAGAAGGCAAACTTGGCTGCAAAAAGACTGGATACAGCTCCAGAAGACTAAATATTGCTTCTAGAAACCTAAATATTACTTTCAGAAGACTAAAACTGATCTAAGAACCTAAATACGGCGGGTAGAACAATAAATATTACTTCCAGAATACTAAATATTGCTTTCAGAAGACAAACTTGGCTATTAAGAGACTGCATACTGCTTCAAAAGACTAAACATTGCTTTCAGTAGATTAACACTAATACCAAAAGATTAGAAAACACTGCTATATTTACAAAACAATTTAACATCTAAAAGCATTGAGTGCACATCTTCGTTTATTTCCGCATTTTTATACTCAGTCTTTGATATGCAAGATCCACAAAAAAATCCTACATTTTCTACTTTCAACACAGGATATTGCACTCGAGTATTGCAATAAAAACACTTAAACATTTCAGAACTTATAAAATCAACTGCTACAACTTTGTTTGCCATATTCGAAACCTTAAAAGAAATAGAAACAAAAGAGATAAATTTAACTAAAAGATGGTAGTAATGGACCTTAGGCTCGTTACTACCATCTTCTGGTTAAGCTATCTCAAGGATTATTACCATGGTTACGGCTATTTTACGCGCTCTGCTTGGCTAGTAGATGGGTTTATCTACAAGATAAATTTAACTAAAAGATGGTAGTAATGGACCTAAGAGCTGGATTTATCTATCGGATAAATTTATCAAGAGGTGGTAAAAGTGGGCCTTAGAAGAGTAAAAGCAAAAGCGAAATCTTGCTTTTCTTGACTACTTGGTTATTCTTTCGAAGATTTTTGATTTCCATTTCGAACGTTCTGTGCTGGATTTCGATAATGACTTGTTATGAAAGTACTCGAATCATTTTTGTCAATGAAGCTTTCACGTAAAAAATGATTCTTGGGATTTTGCTCTCCTCATTGGTGTTCTCTACCTCTTTTTGTTGTTGCCAACATCCTTCTTTTAACAGCCATGATAGACCATTCCACCAAATTTGATGCTGAACTAATTTTTCAGGATCGATACCTCTTGATATGATGCTAGTGTCCTCTACTTCGTTGGATCTCCTTTCTCACCATGCGAAGAGTGGAGTTTTTTGATCTAATTTTAGTGTTTTGGTGGTTCTTGCAAATAATACTGCTGCGCAAGGTTCTAATCTTGGTAACGTGAATTTTGTTCTTGCAGGTGCTACTTTTGATTTAGCTATTACTAGGATCAACGTAATTTGTCCGTTTTCGTTCGGATATCTTGCATAGATTACTGCCCTATACGTCTTTTCTGAAGCGTCGCAAAACCC